GACGCTTGTGTGATCCTCAGTAAATCATTACCTCTCAGAGTCCCAGGCAAGTTTCTAATGTTATATAAACACAGAATTGAACTAGCAATCCTTTAGTTCGAAATATACATGAAAGAAATCCCTACTCTAACATACTCAACAAATGGTCATCGAGATGAATGTGGGAGCTTCCCCCCATAGAGGGCATTGACCTCGGAGCCAAGAAGATGTGGGATCAGATTTCTCCTCTGACCACTGCTAGCTGCATGACCATAGGCAAGTCACATAACCTCTCTATGCCTCAGTTTCCTTATCTGTAAAATGAGCATGTTGGACTCTGTGGTTTTGAAGGTCCCTTCTAGCTATAAATGTACGCCCCTACGACCTCTGGAGGCAGGTGGCCCATGCCACTTGTGAACATCTCTAATGATTAGGAAGCTTTTCCTGACATCAAACTCAAATTTCCCTCTTCAAAACTTCTATTCATTGCTGTTGGTTCTGCACTCTGCAGCCATACTGGACTAGTCTATTTCCTTCTCCACAAAGCAGCACTTCGGATACTTGGAGACAGCTATCGTTTCCTCCATGACTCTTTTCCAATTTAGACATGCCCCATAGTGAGCTTTGAGGTGTTACCCACTTGTACTAGTGGAGGGAGTTTCCTTGACAGGGGAAATAACCTTGAACAATGAAATCATAGATCTGGACAAAATAAAAGAAAGAAAGAAAGAAAGAAGGAAAGAAGAGAAGAGAAGAGAAAAGAATTGCAACATTTCAGTCCATAGAATCTTGGATTCCTAGAATTTCAAAACTGATGGAATCATGGAGTCCTGAGTATTAGCATCTTAAAAACCTAGAATTTTAAAGTGATCATATCACAGAATCAAAGGATTTCAGACTTCATAAAATCATAGATTTGCCAAATCATAGAATCTCTCTGACTTTGTATGATCTCAGAATTCATATAATCATATGATCTCAGAATTCGTGGAATCAGAGGATCATAGGATTGTAGTATTGCAGAATTAATAGAATCATGGAAATGCTTCATAGCCATTTTTAAATTTTAGAATCATAGACTCTCAGGAGAATCAAAGGATTTCGGACTTCATAAAAATCATAGATTTGCCAAGTCATAGAATCTCTCTGACTTTGTATGATCTCAAAATTCATAGAATCATACAATCTCAGAATTCACAGAATCATATGATCTCAGAATTCAAAGAAGCATAAGATCATAGAATTCATAGAATCATAGGCTTGCGGAATTAATAGAATCATGGAAATGCTTTGTAGCCATTTAAAAATTTTTGAATCTTATAATCTCTGGTTTCATGGAATTTTGTAATCAAGTTTCATCCAGGGACAGTTAGGTGGCACAGAGCAGTGGCCCTGGAGTCAGGAGGACCTGAGTTCAAATCCGGCCTCAGACACATAACACTTGCTAGCTGTGTGACTCTGGGCAAGTCACTTAACCCCAATTGCCTCACCAAAAAAAAAAAAAAAAAAATCAAACTTCATCCATAGGCAGATGGAAAAACAACCTACACAGAGTTTGACTTTTTAATCCTATCTCTTAGACAGATGCTGATCATGGTTAATGCCCAAACCCAAAACTGAATTCCAAAGGAGGAAATAAGATTGAATTACCTTTGAGAATGTGTCCAGAGTTTTTAGTGACCCAAGTTTGTCCCTAAAATAAAGGCCCATTTAGAAAAAAACCAAAACGTTATTCCAGGGAATAATAAAGCTAGGTGGTGCAGTGAATACAGCTCCAGGCTGGAGTCAAGAAGACTCACCTTCCTAAGTTCAAACCTGGCCTCAGACATTTCCTAGCTGGGTGACCCTGGACAAGTCACTTAATCCTGTTTGCTTTAGTTTCCTCATCTGTAAATGAGCTGGAGAAGGAAATGGCAAACCACTCCAGTATCTTTGCCAAGAAAACCCCAAATGGGGTCACGAAGAGTCAGACATGACTGAAAAACCATTGAAAATTCCAGGGATGACATATGACTTCCACAGACCTCAGTGAATTCAAGTGCAAGATGCCTTAAAGGTCACTGGAGAGGTGCCTGGTGGATGTGAACAGACTGCATCCCACAAGTAATGAAGACCCACTTAAGAGAAGAGGCATGAAGGATATTAATAGAAAAAATGTATGACTGGCAAAGATGGGTTGGTCACGTACTGAACGTGGAGGAGAGATGGCTCCAGTGACTTCCATGCAGTGTCCTCAGATGTAGAGGGTGATCTTCCAGCATGGTGGGTGGAGCTCTTATGGATGAAGGACAGGAAGACCAGAAGGACGGGAGAGAGTGTGGAGGGCTGCCATCTACACCGATTGAGGCAGCCCGAGGTGGAAGGGTCAGCCTGGGATCAGAGCTTTAGAGCTGGAAGAGGCCTCAGAGGTCCCACCTAGACCACTCTTACCCTGGGCTTACATTTTACAGAAAAGGGCCCTGAGGCCCCAAGATGGGTCTGGTCTTGCCTAATGTCAAACAGGCAGGAAATGACAGCCATGACTTGAACCCAGCTCATCAAAGCTGGAAGGGCCTTTGGAGGCCCCTAGTCCAACCCCCTCATTTTGCCAAAGGAGAAACTGAGGCTAAGGGGGGAGGGGAAGATTGCAAGCTCAATGGGAGTCAATGGAATAATGTATTAGCCAAAAAAGTCAATGGCATCCTGAGCTGCATAATAATATTTGGGCATAATGGGCATGATATTCTGAATGAGACAGGCAATAGTCCTGATCTCCTCAGGTCTGATCTCATCTGGAGGGTGGTGCTCAGCTCCAGGGACTCCGGAAGAAGGCCAATGATCCAGAGAGCATTCAGAGGAGGGGAACCAGGAGGGAGAAGGGCCCCAAGTCCACCCTGCATGGCTTATTAAAGGAACTGGGTGGGCATGCTTAGTCTGGAGAAGAGGATGCTCAGAGGGCACAGGGCCGGGTTATCCCATGGAAGAAGGATAAGCCTCACTCCAGAGGGCAGAACCAGTAATGATGGGTGGACATCTGAGGAGGCCGATGAAGGCTGGATGGAAAGATTTTCCTAACAGAGCAACCTGAAGCCAGAATGGGCTGCTGGGAGGAGGGGAGAGGCAGTGGACTTGTCCTTCCTGGGAGTCATTAAGCAGTGGCCGGGTGGTTCCATATCAGAGATATTACAGAGGAATTCTCCATTAGCTAGATATGCACTGGGCCTCTGCCCAAGGTCACATGTGGAGTCAAGGGCAAGGCTGTGTCTGTTATAGTGTGTGTGTGTGTGTGTGTGTGTGTCCTGAGGCTATCTGCTGGCCTCTGTGGTTAGTACAAAGGTTGGAGTCTCCCTTTACAGAGAGAGAAATTGAGGCCCCAAGAGGGGCAGGGACTTGGCCAAGGTCATGTAGAAAAGCAGAGAAATGGTCAAGTCGAGAACCCAGGTGACTTGGGTTCTAGGTTCAGGCTTCCTTCCCTTCCATATCACAGACACATCTTATAGACAGACCCACACAATCAGAAGCAGAGCTTGTCCAAACTAAAAGAGATGTTAGAAGCCAATCAATCACAGAATGTTAGAATTGGAAGGGACTTGGGTGGCCGCGTATTTGGACTGTGATGTCAGGAGCTCGCCCCCTCCCAAGCTGACCCATTTCATTGTTGGACAGCTCTCATGGTGGTAAGGGTTTCCTCATGTCCAGGCTAAAGTAGACTCCTTTCAGTTCTGTCTCTGCTTCTCTCTCTCTCTCTCTCTCTCTCTCTCTGTCTTACACACACACACACACACACACACACACACACACACACACACACACACGCGCGGTCTGGCTGCTCCTAGTTGATGAGTCAAGGGCATGCCACCTCTTTCACCCCACTCTATTTCACTGACCCCAGCCTATATTTCCTACCAAGGCTGCCCCAGCCACCTTGCTACGCGCTCCCTTTTCTCTTTTGTTCTGGGTGCTGTGATGCAGGTAGGGTCCTGGTCTTCTGCGGCCCCAGCCCTGCTCAGACCCAGTGCCCTTCCCGCCATCCCTCTCCCTTTTCAGTGTCAGCTCCTGGAGAGGACGGACTTTTGTATTGGTACCTCCAGCACCACACACAGTTTAAGCACATGGTAGGTGCTTAATAAATGTTTTTTTTTTCATTCATCTGTTCATTCATTTCTCTGTGAATTAGGGGCTAAGAGCCAGAAGAGAAGGATCCCCCCTCCACACCCAACTTTTGTATCTGCCTCAGTTTCTCTTCCTAGAAAAGATCCAAGACTAACCCCTAAGAGAAACCCTACTGATTCAAGCACTCATAATGTCTAGGGGGGGACCCATAGGAGAATGGTGGAAAGAGCCCTGGCAGGGAACAGGCCCCCCGATTTGCTGTTTGGCCTCAGGTAAATATCTCCCACTGTAAGCCTCAGTTTTCTTATTTGTCTAATGAAGGGGATGAATCATTAAATGGTTCTTAAGGGTACTTCCTGCTCTGACATTCTGCCCCCACTTTCTCCCCCTCCCTCAGCTCCAGCTGAGAAGCTGATGAAGGGAAGAAGGGTGGGGGCTGACCTTCTTTATCACCCTCCCCCCTGGTTTGGGCCTCCCACACATCCTCTTCTAAGGGGGACCCAGTTGGGCCTCTCGGTGGTTCTCTTGACTTCCCAGGCCCCTCCCTAGACTCTTCCCATGCTTTGTGCGAAGTGCTTGGGAGGGCTGGAAACCCTAGCCCTGGCTGAATACTACTTGGGTAGCTAGACAAAGACAGAGACAGAGACAGAGAAAGGGGGGGGGGGGTGAGACCCAGAGAAAGATGCAGGTACGAGGTGGAGATGAGCGGCAGAAACAGAGGGAACGGATGGGCCAGAGGCATTCCACCTCATTATCCCCTCCTCCCTCAGCCCCCTCCCCAGCGGCCACCTGCCCCCTTCCTCCTCCAGTCTGGTCTTCATTGTTAACCAGAGAGACAAACACAGGGATGGGCTGAAGGAGGGAAAGAGGCTGAAGTGGAAGATTTCTTTTTTAAGATTTTATCATTTTTAAAAAAAAGGCTGAGAAAGAGACAGAGACAGACTAAAGAGAATGGGGCAGAGCCAGGGGAAGACAGGGAAAAACCCCAGGAACCCTGCCCTGTCTGTGTCCCAGGACCCCTCCTGCCCAGGCCTGGAGGAAGGGGCCTGGACCATTTCCCCCGGCTCCTCAGCCTCCCCCCATCCTTTGGCCGTGGTGCTCCCAGGGTGGGGCACGAGGGGGCCTGGGGCTCAGGGAGAAGCAGGGAAGGGGCCCAGAGTCTCTGAGGAGCCTGCAGGATGGAGTAGGTGTGTTCTCATCATCATCATTGAGGGGTGGACAGCTCAGTGTACAGCGAGTCCCAGCCCAGGAGCCCGGGGAGCCCGGGGAGGTAGGCGTTGAGGTGGGAGGGCATCAGGCCCGGCCGCATCAGGCAGGGCCCTGGCTGGGAGCCCCAGGTGTGGGGGGGCGGCTCAGCTCGCAGGACCCTCCACATCCACGGAGAAGGAGTCCCGGCTTTGGAGAAAGAAGGGGTTTGCAGAGGGTCAGGCGATGGATAGGAGCTTAGGGGACCCCCAGATCTCCGTCCCCATCCTGTTGGCTTCCCCACTGCTAGGGTGTAGAAACACCAGGCACAGAGAAAGAGAGAGAGAGAGAGAGAGACTCAGGGGAGAGGACAGGAAGAGAAAGTGAAGAGACACGAAGACAGAACTAAGAGACAGACACAGGGAAGGGGAGAAAGAAAGAGGGAGGAAGAGAGGGGAGGAAGGGAAAAACAGGGCTGGAAAGAGACACAGGAGAGAGAGAGAGACAGGAGAAGCCGAGGGACAGAGGTATATAAAGAGAGACGCAGAAGGGAAGACCAAAAGGGAGAGTGGGAGAGCAGGACAGGAGAAGAGAGAGAGACAGAGGCGGGCAGGGAAGGAGCCGGGCAGCCGGGGGGATGTGTTGGAGCAGCCCAGGAGCTGGTCTCCACGGAGGAGCAGCCCCGGCTTCCTCCCTGCAGACTCGTCTCTCCAGACCCTCCCCACACCCTAGCCTGGGCTGCCTTGGGTGCAGACAGTGCCCAGGAGAGCTGTCTCCCGGGGAGCTGCCCCTCCTCCTCCTCCTCTGCTGCTGCCAGTGCTGGGTATACAAGGAGCCTCAGAGGGATGGGTACTCGTGGAGAACACTCACCGTCAGTGGGTGAGGCTGCAGATGCCCCTACATGTAGTGCCACTGCCTGTCCAGGCTCACGCTCATGCCCATGGACCCTGGGGATGAGAGATGGGGGAAGGAGGCCCTCCCCCAGATCCACCCCCTGTAAGAGGGTGTGGGGCCCCTTTAAGAAGGGACAGTGGGTGGGACTAGGATAGTGTGGGCTTCTGCATGCGAAGGAAACATGCATTATTCATGAGTCCTGGGCCCCCAAGGGAGGCTCGGAGTGGATGGGGAGATCTCTGTAGTCTGGGAACAGGAGGAGCCCGGGTTGGGGGCAGGCCTTACCGGTGGTCCTCATGGGTGGCCCAGGGCCTGGACTCTGGTCTGGGCCAAAGGTCCCCAGGGCTGGGCCGTGCTCAGGGCTGTAGGCTGTGCCAGGGCCTGTGAGGGGGACGCGACACTGTCCATGGGAGGGGTCTCCCTCAGGACATGCCCACCCAGCCCGGCAGTGACTAGACAAGCTTCGTAGTCCAGCACAGAAAGAGGAGGAGGCAGAGGAGCTGGGGTCACTTTCCAGCTCTGCCTCTCAGCTGCTACAGAGCCAGTCACTTCACCCACCTCTCGGGACTCAGTTTCCCTCTCTGTCAAATAAGGAGGCCGGACTAAATGGTCTCTGAGGTCCCTTTCCTGCTTCCAGTCCTATTTTTACACACACACACACACACACACACACACGCACACACACGCACGCACACGTGCACACGTGCACACACACACGCACACGCACAGACGTGCATGCACACACCTGCCCTGTTGGACTGGTCAATCATGGGCTGCACAATCCGCCTCCTGGCATTAATGAACCTGTAGGAAAAGATACAGAGACACCAACAGACAGGGGAGACGGAGAGAGAGACAGGGAGACACAGACGGGGTCACAGAGAGACACAGGTGCCCAGGTCAGGGGACAGTGGAAGAGTCAGACTAGCTGAGCCAGGCAAGAGCTGGGCAGGGAGGCAGGCAGTGAGGAGGGACAGACGCTGAAGTAAAGGGGCAGAGAGATAGAGGCAGAGGGGGAGGGAGGCCCCGGGGCCTCTGTCCAGCCCCCTCCCCCTTCTCCCCCCTCAGGAGCTTCTCACCAGTTGTTGACCTGTAGGATGGTGAGACCCGTGTCCTGGGCCAGCTGCTTCTTCTGCTCCTCAGAGGGATAGGGGTGCTGGGGGCAATACAGAGGGTTGAGATGGACCAGGAGTCATCCCCACAAAGAGAGAGAAAGACAAGGCAGTGGCCAATTTCAGGGCCTCCCAGATATCTTTACGTTCCAGTAGAGGTAGAGATTAAAGGCCTTTCTTTCCCTTGAGCCAAACCGGGTGGTGCCAGGGGATCCAGGAAGGGTCTAAGGCTGGGCCAGGCCTGGGGGTACCTGAGGCCTACAGAGTATCTTTGGGGTGTGTGTGAGAGAGATTATGGGGGGACCCACTAGACAGATTCATGGTGGGTCTGGCTAAATGTGTCCTATGCCTTCCCTGGGAGCAGGTGCTAGGGGTGGGGGCTCACCGCTAGGTGCTGGAAAAGCCAGGCCCTCATGATGTTGGTGGCCACCTTGGGGAAGATCCCCCGCTTCTTACTCTGCCTCTGGTCGTGATCAGGCTCATCGTCTTCGGGCCCAGAGCTGGGGGAGGCCGCTCTGGTCTCCAGCCCATCTCCTGATGGGGAGAGGGATGCTGGACTCTGGGGTCTCCTATTGCACCAGAGCCTGGGGAAGCCCAACCCCGTCCACTCCGCGAGGATCTTCCTTGGTCAACGTCTATGCCTAGCCCTTCCTGCCCCGTCCTTACCCTGCTCACTGGAGTTGTCCCCACTCTGGGAGGCCATGCCTCCACTGGATGGACCTGGTGTCCCCAGGTGCACAGATCCGCTGTCGCTGTGGTCCCGAACCCAGGAATTGTTCTGAGGGGAAAAGAGAATGGTTAGTGTGGAGCTTGGGGATTAGGGAACCCCCACCAAGGTGTAGGAAGACACAGGGTGGGTTTAGACATCTCCACAGTCCTTGCCGGGGATCTCCCGGCTACCCACAATCCCTGCCTCTCCCCAACCAGGCTTATGTGTTCTCTGTGTCTGAATGTGACTGTATGAGGAATGAGTACAGCTTGTTTGAGTGTGAGACCAAGTGGATCAGAGGGCATCTTGGTGTGTGATTTTCTCTACGTGGCTGTTACATGAATGTGTCACTGTATCTGAGTATGTGTATGTGAGAGAGTGGCTGTATTTTACCGTACTGTGTACCTCTTTATATGCGAGTGTGAGTGTGTCTGAGTGTATGTATTTCTCCGTGGGTGAGTGGGACAATGAGCGAGTATGGTGTGTACCAAGTATGTGTGTGTGTGTGTGTGTGTGTGTGTGTGTGTGTGTGTGTATGTGTGTGTGTGTGTGTAGGGGAGAGGCAGCACCTGGTGGGGGAGCCCAGGGTGAGGGGTTGGGAAGTCATCCAGGTCAGCTTTGCAGGGGATGATGGAGTCATCACCGTCTCGGTCTCGGTCCTCAATGACCAGGTCGATGGGCATCTTCCCTTTGAGGCAGGTGATATATCGATGGCAGAAGTTGTCACACAGGTCGTGTACCTGGTGGGGGTGGGGGTGGCAGGAATAAAGGTAAGCTGGGGAATGAGCAGCTGGGAACGGGCAGGGGAGAAGACAAGCACTCACCTTCTCCAGTTCCAGCAGATGAAACCGCAGTACCTGGATGGCCTGTATCATCTGAGGGGAAAGACAGAGACACAGAGAGACACAGAGACGAGGCAGAGAGACAGGAGCAGGGAGAGCAAGACAAGCCAGAAGATGAAGAGACAGAGAGGCAGATGGGAAAAGAGAAGGGAGAGAGAGAGAGGGACAGAGATAGAGAGTCATGGAGACAGAGACATGCAGAGACAGAGATGGGAAGATGTGGAGAGAGACCTGGAACAAGGGCTGGGAGATGAGGGCCCTAAGAGGCAGAGGAAAGACAGTGAAGATACCCAGTAACTCTCTTCCTAGCCCCTCCCCGCCAGGGTTATTGGAGGGAGGGGCTCCCTCTCAGGCTAGGCCTGGTGTTTGGGGGAAACCAAAGCTTTGGGGTTACTTAGAGCGGCTGCGCTAAGCTCTCACCAGGTTGTCCAGCTCTGGGTTGGAGGAGAACAGAGGCTTCTCCATGCGGACCTGAGACGCGACATCGAGAGAGAATGGGAGGAGACAGGAGAGGGAAGCACGGAGCGCACGTCAGGGGCTGCCTGGCGCTCCTCAGACACCCCCAGCCCCCCGCCCAGTGGGTCCCGGCGGAGGGGCCCCACCTGCTTGGCGAAGGCGGCGATGTCCTCGTTGAAGGAGTCGGAGGAGCAGACATCGGCCCCAGGCCCCATGCCAGGGCTGCCCCCAGGCCCCGGGCCGGCCCCGTCCCTAGGGGAGCACGTGGCCAGCTCACACTTCTCAAACACCAGAGCCAGAAGCGGGAACAGCGGGTGCCTGCGGGACGGGGAGAGGTGGGGCTCAGCTCTCACCCTGGGGCACAACAGGCGGCACTCAGGGGAGGGGTGCTCCTAAATCAGGCTGAGGCCCCGCTTGAGGCAGGAGCAGAGAGACAGCGAGGGAGAGGGAGACACACAGACTGACTGCCAGAAGGAGATTGACGCACGCAGACACAGAGGACCCATCGAGGCAGGGACTCAGCAGCCGTCCTCACCCGTAAATCTCGTCTTTCTCGCTCTTCAGTCCGTCTCCTCCTCTGGCTCGGCTCCGGGCCGGCCCCGGGGGCGGGGCGGGGCCGTAGGGGGCCTGGGGCAGCACCGCAGGCCCCCCGCTCCCTCGGGGCGCGGCTTCCGAGAAGTTGGCCAGGCCTGAGCTGTCCACGCCGGGATACTGAGGCAGCTCATCGTACTGTGAGACGGGAGAGATAAAAAGAGAGGATCAGAGGGGTTGCCCCAGGACCCAGTCGTTCGAGCGCCCGGACACCTCCCTGTTCCCCCTCTTTCACAAACCCGGACATCTCTTGCTTCTCAATAGGACTTGGGGAAGGGAAGAGCGAAACATCGGAGAGTTTTCTCCTCATTTGCTCCGTCCACACCAAATCCCTTCTCTCTCTGCGCTGTGTGAGCCTGTACGTCAGTATCTCCGTCTTTTCTCTCGCTTCCTATCACTGTCTCTGGTGCTGTGTCTCTGTCCCTATCAGTATCTCTGTCCTTGGTGTAGCTGTCTTTGTCTCTGTCTAGGTGTCTGTCTCCTTCAGTCGGTCTCTGTGTGGCTGTTTTTGTCTCTGTCTCTGCATTTCCATCTCTGTCTCTGTCTCTGGTACTGTGTTTCTGCCCTATCACTGTCTCTATCGGCACAGGGCTGTCTCTGTCTCTCTGTCTCTGGAGCTGTCTCTGAGCTACTGCCTCTGTCGCCATGGAGGTGTTTCTGTTTCTCTCTCTCTCTCTCTCTCTCTCTCTCTCTCTGCCTCTGCTTAGTTACTGTCTTTCTCTGTGGAGCTCACCCTGTCCCTTTCTGTCTCTGTCTGTAGCTCTGTGCCCTTCCATCCTCTCCTTCTTTTCAAAGCATTCATAGTCAGGGATTGATTCATTATCCCTTGGGGATGGTTCAGGAGGGATCAATCAGTCTGAGTTTGGAATCCCCAAGTCCAGGAATCCCCTAACCCAGACACACACACACACACACACACACACACACACACACACACACACACACA